TAGTACATTAGCAGATGTTGAAATCGTTGAAGCCGAAAGCTTTTGAGAGAGGCGCTGGGAGGTGGGCGATCTAAAGGTAAATCCACACACGGTGAAAGATGAGCAGAGGAGATCGAGATTCAACCCAAACAGTCTAAGGCTATGTTTGGCACACAAAAGTCGGTAGCTTCTAACTTCTCTATTATTTAAAAAGAGATTAAAAGACTATAGTTTTATGTTTGGCCCATCAACTTTTATCAGAAGTCTGGGTCTTTTATGAGATGTTACCTTAGGTAGCGTTCAACCCAAAAGACCTTTTCCAAATATTTGCCGTTCCTCACAATACCCTGCGCGCTCCTATCCTATCGTCGTCTTCAACCCCAATCTCTTCTCTTCATTGATCTCTGTTCATAGCCATGTGTTCTTCTTTTTTAAAAAAAAAACATCATTTACTAATCTGTAACCAATGTGCTGCACTTAAACTTGACAAATTCGAGTAAATTTTAGGTTAGATTCGAATGTGTTTCTATACTTTGTTTTTAGGAATCTAGATAACTTCTGTATTCTACCATTGAAATATAATGTAAAAACGATTGTACAGAAAATTAATATTTCTTTGTCTGCTTTGATTGTTTTTATTGGTAGTTCTCTCTGTTATTCGTTGCTATGGTAGTGTGTGAATAGGTTTTTCAACTCGCTGTTTTTCCTTTAATGTATTTGATTCTTTTAATGGATTTTTCCTGATTATTATGTTTATTGTGTTAAAGAGGTTGGGCAGTAGTTTAAAGTGTTGAATTTCTTCCTGCAGTTACAACAAAACATACTCTTGCTTTTTATTTAAAAAAAATGTTAATATTCGTTTAATTTAGTTCTTCATAATTCTTTCCTTACCTTTCTCTCCGTGATCACTGAAATAAACTAATGTAATCAGAAAGCTTGGTGAATATGAAGTATTATGGTGTATCTTATTGATATGTATCAATGACTTGTGCATAGTTTTCATCCTTCCAGGTGTGTTGTCATTAATTAATACTATTGGTTCATGCCCTTAATTGTAATTTTATAATTTCAGCTACTTACAACAGTTAGTTTTGCCAAACATGACTATTTAAAACAATCAGCTTTTATGAAACAGCTACGGCATTTTCTATCTACAAGCTTTTCAGTTCAAAAAAGCTAACAGTTACTAAAAAGTTTAAAAAAGATCTTTTCAGCTTCTCGGGCCAAACGTAGCCTAAGAAACGTCTCAGAATTCAGCGGATGAGAAGAGTTCGAGAGTTTGGCAGGAGTAAGCAAAGCTTCGTGGAATTACGCAAGTGCCCCTAAAATTAAGCGGGATCCTCACTTACTTCGATTAATAGATATATAGATATAGATATAGATATAGATATGGAATTTCATGCACAATTTAAACAAATTGGAATTTTTACTAAACGTAATAGATTACGAAATAATTCCAAATATATAACCAAATTGAAGTAGTAAAAAAATGTGATCATGTTAACTTTTAGTAACTTATTAAGTAAAATTAATCAAAACCAATCATAAATTATAAATGCGTGGACAAAAATGTGATCATGTGATCATGTTAACTTTAGTGGACATTATTCATTCTATTTAAATTCCCAAAAGTAATACGGAGTATGAGTCAATAAAAAGTAAAAGATAAAATGAGAAATTAAAATTTTAGTGATATTGAATTGAGGACAACATTCATTCTATTTAAAAATATGATCGAATTACATGTAAGTCAAATTAAAGTTTAAATACAGACGGGCATTTTAGAGATTCCAATTTATAATTGGTTTTGATTAATTCATAACCAACATTCATTCCATTTAAACTTCTGATTATATAAATAATTTATATGTGGTATCTTTTTTTATCAATATTTCTCATTTTAATCCATATAAAAGTAACACTACCGGGGCATGGCCCGGGTGTTACACTAGTCTAATTCTAAACCAATATTTTTACAAAAATCTCAAGGTATGATTGATAGATTTTTTCAGAAAAAAACATTTTTCATAAATAAATTAAGGTGCTAAAATTAATATCTAATGATTATTTTTACATTCTTCTGAGGTAACAAAAAATATTTATAAAATGTTATTTTTTTTAAATATTTACGTCTTTGAATAGTTTTGAATCACGTGTGGTGACATAACATGGTTACAAATACCATAAAGATGGCAAGAATATTTGAAAGATGTAAATGTTTGAAAAACACAATGTTATAATTACTTTTTATCACTTCAAATGAAATAAAGTACATGAAAGAAGAATTGTGAGATCTTAATTTTAGAGTTCATTGTATTTAAGAAAATATCTGAGTCCAAAAAATTATTCTAATTGGGTCATTTGATTTTTATAAACAAAAAATTTGTTTAGAATTAAATTTGTTGACCGGTTCAGTCTAGCTTTCACGTTATACGTAGGGATGACAATGGGCAGATCAATGACGATTTTAAATATAGAGTCCGTTTGGTGATCCCTTTTTCGGCTTATCAAACTTATCAACCAGATTTATACCAAACACGTAACTTTTGATTTCGAGCTCTGAATTTTGTAATAAGCTGAAAAATTAAGGGGTATGTTTGGCAAATGGCTTATCAACCAGCTTTTAGCTTGTTTGACCCATTTCAATTGTTTGATTGGTCAAAGAAGCTAATAATGATGTTTGGTAAATGGCTTTTAAAATTAGCTTGTTGAGTTTGAAAAGCTGAAAAAATGGATTGTTGAAGAAGCTAAGGGGAGCAGCTTCTTCATTTGGCTGGTTCAATTTACACTCTGTCAGCCATTTTGAAACAACCAATTTTACCAAACAGTTATCTATAACCAGCTAACATAACCAGCCGGTCAAAACAGCTAACACAACCAGCTGTTAGTAAACAGCTGACACAACCAGCTAACAACAACAACTAACAGCCATTTGCCAAACATACCCAAGGTTGGAGTTACTTTTCTGGCTGTATTGGTTGAAGTTTCTATTGGCTGAAGTTGTATTGCTAACTGTAGGTTAACCCAACAACATTTTCGTATATACTTTTAACCCCCAAGCATAATCTGGTAAATAATTCTTTTTTCAGCATTAAATTAAAGACACACACCTTTTGAAGTTAATAAAATGTTGGTGCACCTTCAAATTGTAAAATCAATTTATTTTTGAATTAAAAACACAACATACGTTGATACGCATGACCATTTCAGAATGTAATTACTATTATTATTATTTCAATTATGTTAACTAAAATAATACTTTAGTACCATAATTTCCATAATAATAATTATAATCAATATTCTTTAGCATTATCTTTAATAATTAATGCTAGGCAATAATTATTAAAATAATATTCCGAATATCATGTTGAACATTTCAGCTCAATTGCTCAATAAATTTTCAACATCCGATTTGGTACTTCAGGACCTCACGGCCTTAAAACACGCCCACATGTGAAGACTTCGGGCTCTGCTTATAAGCGTGCACATAAACTCGTGTGCGAGCGATGTGAGAACTTCAGGTTCACAACAACAACGTCTGTCAAAAAGTCCAAATTTACCGACAATAAATGTTTTGCACAGATAAAAGTTTCAAATAAGACTAAAAATGTATTTTTTTGTAAACATTTTCAAAATTAATCACATTAACTTTTTCTTATGTAAATTTGGCTCCTGGGCAAAAAAATGTCAGTCAAAAAAATCTAATTCTATAGATACTAAATGTCTTATGCTAACAAAAAATGTTCGAGGGAGGTTAAAATGTTGTATTTTTATATACTAAGAGGTTGTTTGGCAACACTGTTTTTCGGTTTATCAAGCTTATCAGCCAACTTTTTCACCAAACACATAACTTTTGCTTTCGCGTGCTGAATTGTGTAATAAGCAGAAAAAGTAAGGTTTGAGTTACTTTTCTGGCTGTATTGGCTAAACTTACTGTAGATGACCATTTTAGCTATTTTTACATATAATTTTTTCTTTATTTTATTAATAAAATATATTTTAATTTTTTTTTTCTTAAATCTGCAGAATCAGCCAAAACAACCGATTTTCGTGCTACCAAACGGGCTCTAAATATATATTTTAAGAATCTTTTGGACATACAATGTTTGTTTGTGAAGTTAGGGCACGGACAAAAAATATCCCTCGGAAAATCCATTTTTCAAACCATAATAAAGCATACAAGAAAGCATACAATTTTTTTACCATGCCTGAAACATTTTTGTTTATGTGAGATATTTATTACTGTAAATTGGGATTTCTCTGGTCGAATTGTTTTGTCTATGGCATATTTTATAGAAAAAATTGTCTATTCAAAAGATTTTGAAAATATGAACAAAAAAATACACTTTTTTGTCGTGTCCGAAACATTTTTGTTTATTATAGACTAACAGTCTAACACTTTTATTTATGAATGAATTTTGTGACCGCCATTTTTTCTATGGCGTAACTTTAGAGACAAAAATTGTTGATGCGGAAGATTCTGAAAATGCATACAAAAGTTTTTAATTCTATAGTTCTTAAGTTTCAACTCTGACCATGTCAAAGTTACAAATTATTAACAATGTAAATTCAATTAAAGTACGAGAATTATATTTTAATGTGAATAATAACTAAGGACTAAGACTACCCATATCATTGCACCATTAGAAAATTTTAACATGAAATCCATGTAAATAATGTATGGACTCTGCCAATACAGTTTTCCTTACATTCTTTTATCAATAAAATCACTCAACATATTTTTTTTACATATCTATTTTTAGCTCCCTCCACGGCTCCAATTCGGACCCCCTTTTCCATTTTACCCTCCCAATTTTGTTCCAATCATGCAACTTAGAATTCCAAACTTTAAAATGTCAATTTTTGATATTTTGGATTACAAATCTACAAGTTGTTTAAAAGAGCAACAATACTCCGTACATGTTCTGGACAAGAGTCTCTCCGAGCCGTTGAATTTATTTTCACCCAGCTGGGCCCAACACGTGTACGTACGTGCTCTTATAGCCATATACTTGGTATAATTATATATCGTTCTAGCTTGGATGGGAAGGGTGAGACTTGAGAGTAGTAGCAGCCATGGCCATAAATGCTAATGATGACTTAATGGAATACTTCTTCCAGGATAATCCAAACAGAAGTAGTAGTCATGATGATGATAAAGGAGGAGATAATTGTAGTGCTCCAAAGTTAGCTTCCTCTCCATTCTTCTCCCAGCAATGGCCACAGAGTTTCAGGTTTTTGTTCTTCTTATGCGCCTCTTTCTCTGTTTACGTTGCGTATTGAGTTTTGCAATGTTAGCAGCTCAAATAATCAAAAGGAGACCAACCTATTCACGTGTAGTCATTTAGTTGTTTCTAGCCAGTGTCCCTTATGAATGTCAAATTTTGAAATTTTGCGGCTTGTGTTAATTATGGTTAATCGTAATAAATCAAATTCTCAGCCAATTTTCCTGTATTTTATAGTGAGCATCACCGGTTACATGACTATTTGAGATGTTGGAATCGACAAGCTTAATCTATTATATTCATGGTTTTACGATGAGAGTTACCAAATGGACTCCCCAATTCCGTCCCAATGTGGAATCTCTTGTGGTTCCGGTCTGGATAGGGTTTGAGGGTCTACCTATCATCAGTGGCGGATCCAGGAAAAGAGTTTATTGGGGGCAGATCGGGTATTAAAATACTTATGAAGAATAAGAATTAATTAAAGATTATCGTATTATTATTACAATAGTAAAGGTGTAACAAAAGACATTATGAGGGCGTTTGGCAACACTATTTTTCGACATATCAGGCTTATTGGCCAACTTTTTTTACCAAACACGTAACTTTTACTTTCGCGCGCGGAATTGTGTAATAAGCAAAAAAAGTAAGGTTGGAGTTACTCTTCTGGATGTATTGGCTGAAGTTACTGTAGATGACCATTTTATCGTTATTTTATTAATAAAACATATTTTAATTTTTTTTCTTAAATCAGCCAAATTAAAGCAGCCAATGCCGTCACTTCAGGCAGATTTTATAAATTTCAGCAGAATTAACCAAATCGGCCGATTTTTCGTTCTACCAAACGGGCTCTACAATTGTTCCTGCCAAGTTTTCATTTTTTCAGCAGAGTTTTCATTTTTTTAAGAGATTAGTTATAGTTCTATTTAAGACTTTTTTCTTAGAATATTACTCAAATGCAATTAATGGATAAAAAGGTGTAAAATTGAATAAAACAGTACTCCGTAATAATTAAAATTTACTTTTTTAGTCATCTTATACAAGGTCATGTAGGTTTTCTTATCATCTTTATTTTAGTCATATGTTTCATATATATCATTATTTATTTATTTAACTTTCTAGAATAACATAGTATTTACATTTTGGATTTGTATGTATAGTGGCTTCTTGAAGAAAAATGTATCTAAACGGCATTTGTTTGTTAGCCATTTGAATTCAATCTAAAAGAAATATTACTAACCCTTACAATTGTTTTTTTTTTGATCATCTAACCCTTACAATTGTTAGTAAATGACATTTACTAAATGACCTTTTTAGTAATCATGAACCCTTCCAAGAATATATAACATATGAATAATGAATTGAAATTTTACATAAGACAAGCTATAAAAGGGTTCTGGTACTTTTGAAGTGGCTGAAACTTGAATTTACAATAAAATGACATTTCAAATAAATTATTAACATTCATATAGAAAAAACATTAGTAGTATTTTTTATAGAAACTAATATAAAACATTAATTAACCAACGCATATATATACGGAGGAATGAGGGTAGTGGGTGAGTCCTGAAATCTCATTTTGACATTTAGCCATTTCGCTTGGGGCAAGAAGATTATTGGGGGCAATAATATTTTTTAATTGGGGGCAAAAAGTTGATCTCTTAATAATTTATAATAAAATATATGAATTTAGTGGGAATCTATTGGGGACAGCTGCCCCCCTATGGCCTTAGTGCATCCGCCCCTGCCTATCATATTCACTTGCAAGATAAAAGGACACTTTTTGACATTGTCAGACTTCTAGGTAAGCCTCTGAGGATTGATTCAACGACTGCTATGGTGGCACGTCCGGCTTTAGCTAGGGTTCTGGCTGAACTAGATCTAATGTAAGTAGATAGGCATTGCACTTATTAGGAGGCCACATTATCAGTCACATACTCCCTCCGTTTCGAAAACAAGTTTCGAGTTTGACTTCACGATTTTTAGGTAGAATAGAAAATAAATTTGGTTTTTCAAAAATGCCCTTGGGTAAATAAAAGGTGTAGTAACCAATTAGGTGTAATAAAGGGGTAATGAATTCTTTCAAAGGGGGGGGGGGGGTAATGAATAGTGAAATTGGGTAATACACACTAATTCAATGAAGTGATGTGAGGGTAAATGAATAATAAAAACTTTCCAAATATAGAAAGAAGTTAAAGGTGGAACTTCATTTTGGGACACCCCGGAAAGGAAAGGTAAAACTTCTTTTCGGGACGAAGGGAGTATATGTAATTATTTCCATCTATAATTGAATCTTGTATATTTCAAAAATATTAAATGGTATAGAATCTGATTTAATACATATATCTTCCTCTCTAAATAGTAATACTTCAATTTTTTAAATTGACTCATAATATGAATGCACACCAACTATATGGAGAAATTTCAAAGTGTGTCAATTTCTTTATGATGGAATATTTTATTGATTGTTTCACTTGTATAAAATATTGATACATGTATCATTATATATAAAATTCTTATTATGATTATATTTTTCTAACTTTTTATACTTGTACAGCTTTAACAAATTTTAGATGTGTTTTGTTATGCATTGAATTTCATGTTTAAATAACTTGTAAGATGGTTGAGATATACTTTTCCAATGATTTTATTTTGAGATAAGGATCAGATAGGGTCTCGAACTTGAAAAAAAATGTCAAATAAGGTCATATTTAGGGTGCTCTGTCCGGCCGACGCCATTTGGGGTGGTTCCCGATAGAATTTTTTGATGAAATTTTTTGAGAATTTTATTCATTAAGTTTAGTTTGCTCATATCAAATTTGAACTAAAACTTTAATCGGGAAGGCATTCAAATGAATTCTTGAAGATAACTGTACCGTTAAAAGCGCAGTTATTTTCATGAATTCATTTGAATGCCTTCCCGATTGAATTGTTAGTTCAAATTTGATATGAGTAAACTAGACTTAATGAATAAGATTCTCAAAAAATTTCATCAAAAAATTCCACCGGGAACCACCCCAAATGGCGTCGGCCGGACAGAGCATCCTAAATATGGCCTTATTTGACATTTTTTTTCAAGTTCGAGACCCTATCTGACCCTTATCCCTTTTATTTTTTATATAAAACATTAGTAAAGATAGCTAGTATTTTTTAGTTTAAAATGTAATTATTTACGTATTACATGTGTAATAATGGAATGATTTTTTTGTTACACTAAAATTCGTGTAATGTGTAAATAAATGCGCATTAATGTAGTACTACATATTACTCCGTATAATATAAGGATAATAAAGTTTGTAATTATACAATATTCGTTTAATAAGATTTCTCATGACTAAAGTAGTGTTTGTCATTGCTTAATTTAAGCACTTTTGGACTTTTGGCTTTGAAAAAGCCAAAAGTAGTGTTTGCAAATGCAAGATTATGTTTAATTTAAGTAATTTTAAGCGGCCAAAAGTCAAAAGCTGGGTTGGGAATGCTTTTATCTGCTTCTATGTTTTTTTGTAAATAAGCCTGGGGGGCAGTTTTATTCCTAGACATACGGAGTACTCCGTATTATTTAATCTCCAAAGATGCCCTTCGTCCCCACATCCTTCGTACCACTCTACCAGAACAGGCTTTCAACATAAACGAACCATTAGCACAATGGATCCAACATCATGGCTTCCAACACAAGGGCTTTTCAGTAGAATCTAGCACAATGGATCCAAAATTTAATAGAACACTCTTGTAAGGGACTTACGATTTCTTCTTGTGAATGTGTATTCCCGCCGCTCTGTATTAGATTCAAGACTGAAGAGAGCTACAAGATTTTTTAAACTATGAGGACTAGAGGTATAAAAAGGCAGATTCAAGGTAGGAATATTGGCCGATTGAGAAGTCTAAATGAGCCGCCGGCGTGTTGGGGAAGGTGTGAGAAAAGCTTAGTTCGAGTGATGTACGGGTGAGAAATGCGTAGGGTCTAAAGGGTTGGTGGGCATTTATTATGGAGTAATATCTACGGAGTAATTAGAAATGCAAGGGTACACAACTTGTACACAAAATGTCGGTCACAGACAATTGGTCCAGAATTGTCTGTGGGCATAGACAAGAGTTGTCTGTGTACACAGACAAGAGTTGCATGTGTCCATAGACATTTACTTTTTAGTAAAAAGTACACTGACAGCCGCCTGACACTAACACCAGCTTGCAAATCAATCAATATACTCCCTCCGTCCCGTTGGAATGTTCCCACTTTCCTTTTTTGGATGTCCCAATAGAAAGTTCTCATTTCCCTAAATGGAAAGTTATCCTACATCAAAACAGTGTCAAACAGTGCAAAACAGTGTCAAACAGTGTCAAACAGTGTCCAAACAGTGTCCAAACAGTAAAATTTACCCCCTGGTAAGTTTATTTCCTTAATATGTGTGTAGGTCAAACCGGGAACATTCCAACGGGACGGAGGGAGTATGTGCAGTGCATGTGTGCACAGACAATATTTTCATGTTGCACAAACAATTATTTGTCTGCACAGACAATATTTACCACACATACAATAGTTGTGTGTTCCACAGACAATAGTTATCTATGTAATCAACTTTAGTTGTCGGTGTGATCAATTTCAATTGTCTGGGAGAACAAAAAATTTAATTATCTATATATATCTAAATGAATGATGTAGTTGTATGTGTGATCAATTTACACGTCATTTGAAAAAATAGAAAAATAATAAATATGGATGAAATAAGATGAATAAGCTTAATTTGTGCAAATAATGAAAAAAATTGATAAAAAAAGGTAGAGAAAAGAGGATGAAGAAGGAAAGAGAAGGATGGAGAGAGAAGGGGGGAGAGAACCGAAAAAAGGATGACACCCCATCCCTAAGGGCCCCCAACACCGACCGGACGGCACGATGGGAGGATGTAAATTGGACTATAATCACAATCTGACAGATAGAGAGTGAGGCTCTGTCCCCGGTACTTGCAGAGGCCTTATGCATTTTTAGCATAATAACCTCTTATCGCAGTTGCCGG